AAAACTGCTAATTGGCCCCTACATCGAATATGTCCGTTACCGCCCCTGGGCATGATGGCCGGGCAAGCAGGACCTTTGCACCATGAGAAATGGCGGGGCGATGGAGGGGGTGCCTGCGCTCTTGTGCCCAGGCTCCCAGGGCACCCCACTCCCGTGCCGGGGTTTTAAGAAACAGAGGGCAATACTTCTACCTGGCATTTTGAAATAATTTATTTCTTATACCTTTCTCTTTCTCCCGGGTGTGTTTTTGCTCTGGCCACGTCACTCCGTGGAGTCAGCTATTGCCATTACACCCAGTGCCTTTGGAAACGGCAAAACAGTAAAGCGCTGGCTGGGAAGGGCTTTTCACTGCGTGTGCCTCGTTAAAAACTGCAAAACCGGGGAAGGCTGGGTAACGCCACACAGCTGAGGGAAAGCAGAGGAGTTTGGGACTAGTTTGCAAGAAGCAACGCTGAGGAATGCCCGAAAATAACAAGGTAGATCCCCAATCTCCTCCCATGCGTGCTGCTGCCCTCAGGCAAACGGGACCTGGATAGGGTCTGCCCCATGCTGGTTGCTCCTGGCCTCCCCGTACCCGACTCGTTACGTCCACACGGAGCCGCAATCCTGCCTGGGTCTCAGGCTGCCAACAGTCCTGTGGCATGGCCGGGTTAAGGCAGAACTGGTTAAGGCAGGTCTGGTTAAGGCAGGTAGGTGTCTGCCGCGGGACGCCGGATCTTCGGCTGGCTCAGGGCTGCCCCGCGCCCGTGTGCGTCCGTCCACCTCTGCGCCGGGCTGCGGCCGGGGAAGCCCCCTCTGCGGGGGCGAAAATGCCGACTGGGGAAGAGCCGGGTCAGCCGTCTGCAGCCTTGGGCTTGTCCCCAGAGGTCCGTTTTATCTACTCTCCCGACCTCTGCTTTTTATTCCATTACCCAGGATGGGATGCCACTTTATTGTTTTCTGAACAACAGCTCAGGCCAAAAAATGGTGGCAGCGGTCTGTCATCGCCAGAGCTGCCACACAAGGAGGAATAATTAGTTTTCTCTCTGCAATACAGCTTTATCTTTCCTTCGGCCCGTGGTGCTGCTGAAGTATTGCAATGTTCCCTTCTCCCGTGCGGGGCTCTCCCGGTAGCCTCGCTGCGTGCCTCCTTTCAGTGGCAGCTAGAAAAAAGGCAAAGATATATTCTGCTTTGAAAGTACTGATGAATATGCAAACAGTTGGGCCTGAAATATTACTTATCCTTGTCACGGGGTATGCACGGAGTTCGTATTTGCACTTTAGCCTGAGGATGTATACAACATGAATGTGGAGCTGAGCAGCTTATGGAAGATTTAACTCTTATTTCTATTCTTGACGCCAAATCATTAATAAGGTTATGCCCACGTTCAGGGCCTTTCCCAGCACTCTCCTCCTGCTGCAGTGGGGGTTTGGAAACCTGCCGGCAGAGTTTTACCTCAGCTATCGATTGATGCGCAGCGGGGGTAATATTTCATCCCGAATGGAAGCAGTCACTGACGATTATCGTATGGTATTAGCACGTGTCGTCATGAAATCGGTGTGATTTGAGATGAAGCGTGACCTAGGGGCGCAGGCAACCACATTCTGAAGTATTCTAGCTGCATTACGCTGCACGGGTAACGCCGGGGCTTGACGAGCTATTACTGTTGCTGGTACCATGCTGATTAAAAACCCCAGCTTACTCCTGCTCCTATTGAAATCAGTGGGAGGTCTGTCATTGCCTTCAGTGAGTGCTGGACCGGATCCAGATTTCGCTTCATAGTATGCATTATTCCATAGGATTAAAGCGGTGCAGGGAGTGGGATTCCTCTCCCTCGCTGATCTCTACCGCTTAGAAGTTTGTCTTGGAGGTGGCTGGGACACGAGGTACCCGACCTGCTTTTGGTGACTGCCCAGGGAGGAGACGAGCGGTGTTTTCTCTGCGGCGGCTGCAACAGCTGTACAAGCAGCACCGCGGCAGTGCCAAAATATCACGCTCCCGAAGGTCAGCCGAGGCTGGGGTGCTGCTCTGGGGGTGCAGGTTAAACATGAGGTGCTGGGCAGCCCCAGAGCATACCTGGGCAACAGCCCTTGAACGACCATACCTGGGTGGTATGGGGACAAGGCAGGCGGGGAGGGTCCGCTTGCCGTCGGTGAGACAGGGATTCCTGTAAGCGTTGCCTGTACAGTCAAAGTGTTCGACTCCACCAGCACACCAGAGCCCCAGTTCGCAAATAAAAAAGCCCGAGCACGCCCTGGGAGCCTCGGAGAAGGCCCTGGCTCTGCGCACTCCACTCAGGAGTCAGCTGGGGAGGGGTTTTCGCTGGTTCTTGATTTCAAACAAGCGTTTGACCTCAAAGCCGTGCCGGCTGTGCTGGGGCTGAATTCCCCTTGTGGTGTGGGAGGGCTCCTGAGGGCACCGTGGTGGCTGCAAGCGTGGATCCCACTGGGGCCCTGCCCGTCCTCGTCCCCACCGTGCGCCCGGCCCCGACGGACGAGCCTTTGGGTGGAGGATGACTCAGGGCCCCGTGCAGGAAGGGCCGCAGAGGGAGGGGGTGGTGGTGACCCCCCCCCCCAGTGCTGCTGGGGAACTGAAGCAATCTGTTTATCATGGAAAAACTGCTCTTTGCAGCGATTCAAATGGAAACTTCCCAGAATGACTGTTGCAGGCTTTCCCCTTGAATCACCTCGCCTCCGAAGAGCCGCTTTCTAAGATGATGCCCTCAGGAAAGCTGTCATCGGCCTCGGCTGTGCCGCGGTGGCTCCGTCCCTGCAGCACAGCCAGTCTCGGTCTCTTCTCAGGCCCCTTTCTACCAGAGCATGTCTGCTCGCTTTGGCTGGATGGAAGTGTCTGATGAGCAAAAGCAGGTCCAGGTGCAGGAGCCCGTGAAGGCCACAGGCTGGGGCTCAGCTCGGGCTCTGAGCCCGGCTTTTGG